GGGACCCTCTGCATCCGTCGCCACATCGGGAACCCTCTTCACCCTGTCGCCACCGTACTACCACCGGGAACTCTACACTGTTTCGCCACCACCGGGAACCCTCTGCACCCTATCGTCAACACCGGGAACTCTCTGTACACGTACACAGAAGGTTTAATCACCACTGTTATACCATATTAATACGTAGACGTACAAGTGGTTTCCAGCATTTATATATCTACAAATGCATACTTATACGACATTGACCCGGTCACCGTACGGTATAATAGACGGGTTATGACGCATTGACACCATTGCTTTCTTCGCTGCTGGTATCACAATATTAAATATGGCCCATGGAGTAATGTCATTTGCCAATAGCGCTGATACTCGTTCTGGATCATACTATTCAAAGGAACCGAGCACCGTATTATTGGTATTTCAAAACAATTCATTTAGATATATGCCGGAAAGCGTTCGTACATTATTATTACTAAGTTTAGTACTTAATCAAGAGGACGGGCGATACCACCACTGTGAAGGTGTTCGTTTAGAAAACAGCAGGGTTGAGGAAATGTCTAATCTGGGTGCATACAATTCGAGTGAAGTGATTAGAAACGATTTTTCCCCAAAAAAACAAGTCTGGCATCTGAATCTACTGCGCATGCGGAAAAGATATACCACTAGACTTTTTCGAAATTGTCTTTTACTTTAGCTTTCCCGCCGAAGGCTGGCATGCAAGACTATCCGGCGACTTTCTTGATCACTCGACAAGTAGGCAAACTTGGAATTTCTTCAAAATCGTGGGATCTGAGTGTAAAAAAATTAATAACATATGACGGCAAATTGCAGAGACCGTGAAGATAATATGGGGGTTCAAGGCAATGTTCACCATTTTAATAATACCCTGAACAAACAAATAAGACATTCACTATTGAACCTCATCAGTACACAGTCCCTAAAAACTGAATTTCTACCAAATAACACAAAATACACGTACGGGCAAGGTGATATGTTTATGAATATGTAACACAGGCAAAACAAGTCACATAAAACAGCGAGTTACTCTATGTTACGTGCGCTAATCTATTTTCTTGATTACAATTATATTAGTATAATTTCAAGTATTGATTCGGCTTCCGTGACATAAAATAAAAAACAACAAACACATCGACATCAGAATTAATGAATACTAGCCAGTCGTACTCGGAAGCCATGCACTTGAAAAAAAAATCTCATTTCTGACACTTTTTTTAACGGATGCCCATCATCCACGCTAGGTGAAATCGAGACAAGGGCCGGAGGAGTGCCAACTGGGTTCAAATGATGCCACAATTGTTTAGTGTATATATAAAATGGACAGTGTTCAAAGTTCAACGAACGTGTGACTCGCACGTCATATTTCGTGGCCGACTCGGGATATAGTTGCGATGTCACGAAAGCTACACGTGCATGAAATCAAAACAAGAACGTAACGTCACTGTACAGCTGACAGGAGGCAATTGTGTTGTTTGGAGAGGACTCAATATATTCAAGTATAAATACACTACGAGTAGCTCGCGATGGTTTACAACATTATACCCACAACATTAAACGCATGGCAATGATATAATTACCGATGTACATCCCCATAAACCAGAAAAAAAAACGCTAACAATTATCAATAACATCATTCGGTCGTTTTGATAACATCCTGGGGCTATTGCCATTCAAGATAAATTCGAAGTATACACAGTGTTTTGTTATTGAAACGGTAGGTTGGTTTTAAGTGCATCGGTTTTGTTTAAAAAATGCTTAGCTATCCAGCGTACGAATTACCGACACGGCGTATCGTGGTCAAACTTTAATACAACTCTTCAAAACGAGGGATATTTACATTGTGGTTTCATGGTGGAAAAAACGAATAACGGAATGATCTTATGATACCAGAAAAATTGTAACAAGAGCTCCGAGAACTCATGTACAGATGAAATTAAATGCACCCTTGTCAGATTAAAGTATTCATTCCATGCATTTGATTTACTCTCTTGGGTCAGAGATCCTCGGTGTTGATTTCACTGAGTATGCAAATCACAAACCACCTGTATTGGCTTGGTGTCATATCTTCGGCCGCTTGCTGCTAGCTCAATATATTTTCATATACTGTTATCTAACTTGGATGAACTCCGCGTATTTTGCCTTGCCCTTGGAGTGAAGGTCATTCGACCCCAGTGTCTCGGTGTGTCTACCTACGTGAAAATAACATCGCAGAACAAAACACACGAATGCTTAGTAAAATATATTTAATCGTCTCAATTATCACCATTAAATAAAAAATACATATCGTCAAACGGCCGTAATGATTCGCGGTTACGACATTTAACGGGTCACCCATGAACGATTTCCAATAGTCTATTTACGTCTAGTGAATGACCAACGATATAACTCGTAAATCAAGATCATAGGTGCGTGTCCCCTCTGTCGCCCGTCTTTGCATACTCAATAATAGTACTCGTCCACAAACAGCGTGAAAGCAGCCTCTTGCAAGGTTAGTTGAGCAACCTGTGCCTTTCTCGTCGAAGTCTTTGCCGGGAATCGCAATGGTAGCGTCATAGCAGCTGTTGGTATCCATCGGTAGACTTATTATTGGCGAACATGGACGTACCAAGGTGTACCTGTATTATTTTATGTATGTGTCTCGCAAGTTTTGTCGCCGCGAGACGATATGACGGGTAAGTTGGTTTTAGTTAAAAATAAAACACTCTCCCTCTCTATCTATTGTCACGGTACACTAACAACCATGACACGTTTGTGCATACAACAATTCACGGGGCGCCAGCGAGTTGCACTATAGGGTGGCTTGCCAGGCTTTTCTTGTCTCACCTAAGAATTCCGTATACGCCGTATAAATATACACCCTGCATAAAATAACGGCCGGGCAGAATGATAATATGAGTGAGAGAGCCCGCCACCAGCAGTACATAGGTAAATTGATATGTCACGATTGTGGCAAAATTGTACTGCGGGCAAGTACTGAACAGAATAAAATAATTGAAAATCAAGTTGAACCAACTTTCACAGGCAGATGGTGTTTCAAAATAGTATAGAACAGCGGAACAACGAGAATACGCGTTGTTACAGACATCGCCTATGCAACTGAAATGTGCGATCGGCGCCGGGAAGTTGCTATAATGCCTCTAAAATTGACGCAGTGAAATCATTCTAGTGCGAGCGATTATATATGCAGTATCGGCACTCCACCCAAGTGCGGAATAAACAACAACTTTCCCCAGGAATTGTATAAACATTTACAACACTCAGAGTGTATCACTAAACGGTGTTGTCACCGGCAATAATATGCGCGATGACAACACTATCAGCGACACTTAAACTGTCACACACACTCACTCACTCATAGAACAGTTCTTTGCCTACCGAATTGTAAGGCGGGTATGTTTAATGAAAGAGCCGTCGTTTCTTTGGGCATAGTTGATGTATATACTCAATGTGTGCAGTCGGTGTTTAGTGATTGCTACTTAAGCACAAGAGCATTTAATTACTCGGTACATATGTGCAAGATATATTTGCGTGTTTTCGACAAAAAAATACTTCCATATGTTTCACGTGCGTGCGTGGCGAATTCGGGCACTTACTTGTGATGTAACTTTACGGTACATTGAAGTGCATTGGTAAAATACCAATACATTTGCGAACGAATATACAACTGACTTCTAAATGTAATAATAGCATTGTTTAGTGAACCAACCAACCAACCAGTGTAATGGCACATTTGTGTGTAAACCAACCAGGCAATATCACCTCTGCGTAAACCAGTTAGCAAATAGCATTTTTTGTTTAAATAATTGTGTAAACCAACCATGCAATAGATTTGTTGTGTAAACCATACAGGTAAAGATACGTTTGCGTTATCCAGTCTGCTACAACATATTTGCTTTAACCAATCATACGGTAGCATCTTTGCGTAAACCAGACTGGCAATAACACATTTGTGTAGCCAGGCAATAGCGTATCTGTGTAAACCAGCCAGGCAATAGCACATCTGTGTAAACCAGCCAGGCAATAGCACATCTGTGTAAACCAGCCAGGCAAAAGCACATCTGTGTAAACCAGCCAGGCAAAAGCACATCTGTGTAAACCAGCCAGGCAATAGCACATCTGTGTAAACCAGCCGGGCAATAGCACATCTGTGTCAACCAGCCTGGCAATAGCACATCTGTGTCAACCAGCCGGGCAATAGCACATCTGTGTCAACCAGCCGGGCAATAGCACATCTGTGTCAACCAGCCAGGCAAAAGCCCATCTGTGTAAACCAGCCAGGCAAAAGCACATCTGTGTAAACCAGCCGGGCAATAGCACATCTGTGTCAACCAGCCTGGCAATAGCACATCTGTGTCAACCAGCCGGGCAATAGCACATCTGTGTCAACCAGCCGGGCAATAGCACATCTGTGTCAACCAACCGGGCAATAGCACATATGTGTCAACCAGCCAGGCAATTGCTTGATCTATGCTTAAACCAGCATAGTATCTGTTAACGAAACAGCAGTTTAAATGACTTTTTTTCGATGTTGCTCTAAATAAAAATATAAATATAAAACATAATGTACGTTTCAACGACGATGTATTTTCTTGGCGTCGTCGTCGTCAGCTATATATAATTTTTAACACGAGAGTTCTTTCTAAGCTTTCTAATAATTCACAATTTTGTTTAAATTTATTCTAGTTCATGTAATGTAATTTGTGTTACAAAATTTGTAAATGCATAATGGCATGCCAATTAACACGTCATGGTTTATGACAACAGCGTGCAAAATGCCGATTTTTCATTTTATAGACCAACAATTCATTTTCCAGCTGTCCTGTTGGTCTTTTCACCTGTGTATTTTGAACATCCTACCATTTTGAACATCACTACACGTGTATTCATTTGGTACGACATAAATCGTTTTGAATTTATATACGTGGGTTAGGAAACGACAACAACGGCAAAGTCACGCATCTTTATTTAATGGGTATGCCTGTCTGTCTATACAATGATTGTTCCATTTGTCCAATTTAAAATTCATTTATTTTCAAATGAATTTCATATTATCACGTAAATCTATTTATAGTTGTGGCAGTATGATACTAACAACCGATTACGTATTTCTGTGACTGCATAGAATGCTCGATCCCGAACAGGCTCATTTATATAAAAATTATTCCCACTAAGACTATTTGTATGTTCAAGATTATCTTCGAACTCCCTGTCACGATGCACAATTTCCCCAGTGCGTATACTAGTATATACCGACCATTCTCTGTTTGCCGTTGTTCTTGTGCTTCTGAAAGTTAAAGCGCTGCAGACCTGGCGCATCGTCGTACTCGATATGATTCCCATTTAACGTATACATCGCGTGTAAAATACATTTTTTGATCCAACGAAATCCGATGGTGCAGCACAACGACTTCTAATGCTACATTCTTATAAACAATGTCGTCCTTCTAAACGCTTGTTTTCAACCGGACTCATCTACTAACTATGTAACACTGCGATGCCCCGATAAAAAATAGCCCCCGTCATCGACGTAAACATCGCAGTCTTAAGGCGTATCTGCTGCACCCGAATACGTGGGCCTCAGATACAGTACGATGGGTATCAAACAATCACAATTTTTCAATGGGAATTGTTCCTAGGAACAATCGCTATCTTTCTTCCGCAAACAAAAGGAGAACGAAACGCAGGCGATTGGAACACTTGGAAGGTAAACAGAGAGGCAACAATGATGAGGTTTACAGGTATTCTTGAATTGGCCCACGTCAGCGATAGCATTTCAGAATACTCTAACAATCGACACGTAAAGTATTTCTTCACTTGCGTACGTATTGACCTACATTGATTGCCAGTTGTCGCCAAGGGCCGATCATTGAAGTTTACACATGGGACCTTTTCAGTGACACGGCAACGCCCTTTGAATCACAATACAATTCTACGGCTACAATTGAATAACACATGAAACAATCTACGTGTTACCCCTCGTGATCACACAATGTGTCATTTTTTTTTCAAAACGAGAACTCAAATTTCCCAGCGACCACGCGATTGACGAATGAAATAAACGTCGTGAAGATAGTGTTGCAATTGATGATGTAATCTACTTACTGGCACGCGGTCGGAAGGTTGGGAGTAAGGCTACGTGACCAAACAGGTAAACGAAGGTGTTGTATGCAAATAGCCACACACAGTACAGTGTACTGAAGACCTAATAATATTATCCATCGGTAGAACGAGCACAATATATCGAGTTCAGTAATTACTAGTCTCCTTGACGTCAGAGGTTAACTCAATCTCAAAAAGAAGAAAGGCAATAATGGTGCCCTTTCAGAATGCACTTTCCACACTCCTTCACACTAGGAAATATTTCTATTTGCGCGACGTCGATGTGCAACATGAGTAAACGTGAACACACATACACCACCGCTCGTGTACACTGAATTTAATCAATAATAACTCGCTTCCAATCGGTCAAATCCAAGAGTTCTCAAAATCACCGATGGCGTTTTATCAGACCTATCCATTGGAAGGTCTGTGGTTTAATTTTCATATTTTTCATATAAATACATCTGACCTTGTGCCCTCGAGCTCGTGTGTGTTTTGTATTTTTCGTATTGTAGAGTACCGGTATGCGCGAATACATTCACATGACTCAGTTGGGCGTGGGTTATGGCTCAATGGATGAGAATTTATCAGTATACTAGTATTTCCGACAGAGATATTTCCGAAATTGTTTTCGTGTAAACTTTGAGCGGAATGTTTTAACACAGATTATTGGTTTGATGTCAGTCGAATACATGTATTAGTACAAGGCCGAGTGTACTACACATTCACTTGGGGGCTGAAAATCAATAAATACTAATTTAAAAAAAAATCATCCGCTATACGTATATAAATAAACAAGTTGTGAAACATGGCCACCTAGTAAATCGACACCCTGTCGGTTTCAAATTTCGATTTCTTTCTTAACACAAATTTTAGAGAGGGTCAGGTGTTACGTTAATAACCATTTTTCATAGTCGCTAACTTGGTTTTATTCAAAACTACACAAATCCCGCGTTTTCTGATGATATCCGACGATTTCATGAACGAAAATGGCCAGCAGCCAGAATCAAGGGGGATCCGCACAGAGTTCTGGGTAAATCAAGTGCGCATACGCATTTTCAGCCAATCAGGCGTGCCGTAACAGCGAGTATTTCCTTGATTTACCCAGAACTCTGTGTCGTTAATTTCAAGTAGTGATCTTAGTAAGACCGCGGTCATCCCCAGTTGAAATTTAGCACCATGACGACAGACTTCGGCTCAACGCTTTTACTTGGCGCCATGTAGTGATCCATTTCACAGTAGTTGACGTGATCAACCGCTGTCACGATACATTGTCTGTTATAATTAAAAAAAATAAACGATAGACGATGTTGACACATGTCACGGGAGGTAACCATTAATACCACGCCTAACAATGGCGCCACTGTAAGTAACACAGTTTGCATATTTAAACGTGAGGCAAGAGTGTTGACCAAAAGCAATGTCGCTGCTGTTGACTTTGAATGAGAGATTGAACAATACATTTCGTGGTACAATGATCCCGTGCTGACCACTGAATAATACAATAGCGTCAAATTTGTTGAAAATAGACTCTGTCTTTTTTTAGTTGGTGGTTGTTTCAATAGTAATGGGTGGTGTACCGTTCAAAATGGGCGATATGAACAGATCATTCAAAAAGTACAACTACTACACCACACGTCCAAATTATACGCTCATTTGCTTCTTCTATGAATACCTCTCTTTCTAGTTACAAGGTGATCCGTATAACTCCTCAAAAGACAGATGAAGTGGCCGTGATAAAAAGTGTTCGAGACCGATTTGACGTAAGTAGCCCCTATTTAATGCGAACTCAAACGAGATTTCAGAGAACAAACCAAATCTTTTCAGAGTTTCACGCTGCGCAGACAAAGAACCCAATTTTTTTTCACTTCGTTTGAAATTGATATTGACAATTTTATTGTCATGGTTCAATAGCGGTACTATCACGGCAGCGGATTATGCATCTGTGGGTGAATATCATGACGAGAATAAAACCATTCTATATGTCCGAGTGTGTTATACCAGACTGTCGAAAGCAAGTACCAATGACAGTGTGTTTATAGTGCGTATACAGCAACTGGTAAACGTCGATCGTATAATATATGATATTATTAGTATTGCTGTTATGTAAACATTATTGTTTTTGACAATTTATAATTGAAATTTAAAAGCAAAAAAAAAAATAAATAAATAAATAAAAACATTCTAAGCCGGCTTGAAATGTGAAATACACAAATTAATGCTCTACTCCTACGGAAGTCACAGAGATCGCGCTGTTGAAATCTTACTATTTAGACAATTGACATGTTCTTGTCCTAGTATTTGCCAGAACATTCTTGAAGAGTGGTAATTATGTTGGATTTGTTACTGTGAAACCAATTTCTTCTACCCGTAGCTGGATTTCTGGTCAGACTACGTCATTGTCGATCACCCGATTAACGTAATGGCACCACCGGACCAGGTCTCCGACGTTATTAGCATATTAGACAAACACGGTATACGTTTCGAGATTACAATGGAGGATATCCAATATGAAATTGACAAGCAAATGGCGGACTTCGAAGGAGAAGCGACAGATAGGGGGCCAATCAAGCTTTCAAGATTTGATTACAGCAGCTACCATACAATGCCTGCGGTAAGAGCCTACTTTTCAGTCACGGTCAATATTAAATTCTATTCCATACCTAGCAGTTTTGCGGCTTTGCATGATGGTCCCCACGACTCTGGTTATATAACTACAAGTTTGTAGTTACGTCAAAACAAGATGGTGATTTTCATGATGTATAACATAACATAAGCAACATAAGCAACATAAGAGACCCTATGACATGTTACGATGATCTGCTATGTCTGGTATATTTATGTGGCGTAATGTGTTCCCCGTGTACAGTGTACAGTGTATGATTACCCTAGGTCATTTGAACCTAAAATATTTTGGTTCAAGTCGGGAAAAGTGAAATTCTGCTCAAACTTTGCATAACGTACTTTCTGAAATAAATAAATAAAAAATACCTTAATAGAATCCAATCCAAAATCCAAAATTATAGTAACAATTTTTTGCAAGATTAATGTTTAGATCAATGCACGTTCAATACACAAATCATAGAGAATTGTGGATAACTGATTGAGCCAACGAAATACAAATAATGTTAGCCAGACTTACAACTATTTTATTTGTTTAATCACAATGAGTGTTCATCTACATCTAATCCCAGACAACTAATAATAATTTATTAGCTGTTTGAGATTTAATCTGCTATTGTTGAATCCAAAATGGGTCTTAAGGGAGTGAGATTATTCCTTTATTTTATTTGGAGTCTTGGAACTATTGGTTCGAGTGTGCTCCTATTGCGGGGTCATATCACGGGAATCTGAATTATATGTTACATTTCAGAAATTGTCAGCGCGCGGCGTCAGAGTGCTAGCGATTGCTGCGGCTTATGATTGCTTGCTTCGAGCGTAGATTCACGACGATTTGCCGCATTCAATTTCAAACAAGACGAGTCCTAAACAAATCCTAAAATACTTCCGCTATCCGGTACATTCTCGCCATCAGATATTCTACATAGTTCTCAGTGAAGTTCTTTGAGAATGGACCGTATATTTACAGCACACCATTTTAACTTTTATCGTTTTTTTTCAGATTGACGCTTGGATGGACAGCGTGGTAGAGACATATCCTAATTTAACTGAAATATTCACTGTAACGTATTCATACGAAGGTCGACCAATTCGAGGCATTAAGGTAAGTCCCCATAATACATCACGTGATTTTTGGGGACGTGTCCCCAAAGCGTACCGCCTCAGTCTCCCTCAAAACTAGTGGTACACAGCCTGAGAACGATTGTTCTAAAATATTAAAAGCAAGGGATGGTGGCAATTGTTTACTCCCACCCGCTGCTTTTTTAAAAGTCGATATATTGTGAAATAAACAAACAAACATCGTATAATGATCGCTTAAAATTACGGTGTATGTGCGTACTGATATTTTTGTGTGTTTTTTTGTCGAATAAATTTACTGCTGTGTTTGAGGAACATAAATTACCTTTTTTCTAATTTACGATAAATCATAACCTATATATAGTGTCTTTTTTTTACAAGAAACACTATAAACCAGGTAATTTTAACAAGTTAACAAATAACAGTTACAAACACTGGCAGCCGGCCGGAAGCTTTCTATTGAAGATGATTTTGTTTATGAATTATGTATGCTTATCTTAGTTTGACTGAGCGAAATTGTCGACGTTTAATCGCTTTCAGTTTATCTTCGAATCGCCCCAAGGTTCAAGATATTTACAATCTGGTGTTTTTTTGTGTTTTTTTTTTTTTTTTGCAGATACGGAAACCCGCTTCTTATAATAAATCATGTGCGTGGTTCGAGGGCGGTATACATGGCAGAGAGTGGGTATCGCCCAGTTCCATGTTGTTCATGATCAAAGAGGTATCATTACTGTGTGTTTTTTAAAGGGCGGTAGTTGTCGCGTCGGGCATGTGCGATATTTGTGTTGATGAACATTGATTTTCCCATAATCCAATGCGCTTTTCTAATGAAATCACGAGTACGAGTTTTGCCCTTTGAGCCACTTGCACTAATTACCGTCGACAACTCCTTCGATATCATCCAAACACCAAGAAAATACCTAATTAAATTTTGATAACCTCTCAGTTTGTACTAGTTGGTGTACGCAACAGTCAAAATTGCCATCTTTGTTTATATGATACCCATATCTCGCGCATGCGCGGCGCGACGACTACCGCGCTTTAAGTATGCCTTTTGATCGCTTGGTTGGGCGCTATTGGGAAATATTGATGAGTCATTATTGAGTAAAAAAGGTTCATCTGCCGAAGTGTGTGCATTTGGTGAAAATCGGGTTTGAGATATTGAGAACTGTCCGAGACCTCAAGCTATTCAGTCAGTACCCTAATTCTGTTACACGATACACATTTAATTTCTCAGTTTAAAGACAATTGCACAATGCTGATTAGAATTAGTTGTTCACATTTCATTGAAGGTGAGAATCTGATGAGCTATTAGTGTGTCTATAATTGTATGAATGTGTCAACATTAGCGAAATAAACGTGAAAGTTTTAGTTGCATTGTATCCACTGATTTAAAAGTTGCCTTATTTTAATCAAATTTGCTATAATTCAGTCAAATTAGCAACAACAAAAAAGTGTTGGTTTCAGTGAATATGATATGCAAATTAGTATTCCCTGTCAGTGACATAGATTACTAAAGTGTTGTTGAACATTCTTTGCTTGTTAGCGATTACACATCACAAAAAAATCAACACTGCATTGTCTTGTATTGTAACACGAATATACATATTGCACTTGTGTTGTTGTTGTTGTTCAGTTCGTAAAAACTAAAAATAAACACATCTGCAAAACGTTATTTTTAATGAAAATTACTTTTCTGCTATCAAAGCGCACATATCTATTACCAAGAAATTGGCGCCCGCCACACAAGAGAACAGCACCATACAACTGCATGATTTCAAAATCCGTACGTCAGAAACTGATAGTTAACAACCCCGTTTGACAACACCGAATGAAATTGAAAACTGAACCGTCTCGGTCTACCTACAGACATTCTTGTCAAATGCACTCATCGCACTATATATCACTATTCAAATAAATAAATGGATGCTGGTCACGCTACACTGTTTTACTCAGCAACGTAGCATTCATGGTGCATGACCAACTCTGATCTATTGTGTTGGTGTATTACAGATGGTGGAGAACTATGGTGTGGACCCCGTGGTTACGAAAATGATAGACTCATTAGACTGGTATATTGTACCTGTCCTAAACGTCGATGGATATATCTATACGTTTGTAGTAAGTCGTCAGTTTACATGTTTGTTCCTCCTTAGTCATATAATGGGCGGAAATACTGTACAATTAAATCGCCAATAGGAATGATTACATTGCAAACAATATTATTAGGTCACGTTTTCTGATCCCGTATTCCTCCAAAAGCGGTCTTGATTTGAAATAAACACGCTGATGGGCGATGTGCTTTGTAATGAACATAACAACACTTGCAAACCTTTGTCATAGAACTAAAAGGTTGACTAGTTATACACAAAAACTTACCATGCTTTGCTCATTGAACTCGAACGCTATAAAGTAATTCATACAATATGTTACAATTAGTCTACAATGAGTAAGCGCCAATCGGCATAACGATGCTAAGTTATTTGTCTGTGCCGAAATCGTATCTGAAGTGCATTATATTAAATATATTTCAGGATCGATTGTGGCGAAAAGACCGGAGTCCGAATAACGGATCTTACTGCGTGGGTACAGACCTCAACAGAAACTGGTCGTTTGAATGGGGAGGTAAATATCGTGGCAAGACTATACAATTATTTTCTGGTGGTGGTGGGGGGGGGGGGGGGGCGTTGTGATGAGAGTAAACGCAATATACTAGTACTTCAACGCAACATTATAAACACATCGACTGTTTTTTTTCCCATTCATATTTGGCCCGTCTATATTGCTCTTTTTTTTATTTACGACTGTTTGATTTGAGATATCGCTTAACGTTCGGGTGGGCTTCGAATCACGAGATAATTTATTGTTTAAGTAGTCAATACAAATAATAACGGACATCTTTCAATCCCCGGCGACGCTGACACAGTGTCATCGAAATCTTTGACCAGGCAAAATGCACCCAACACGCACGCCATAATATAAATATGAAATATTATTTGACGATGTTTACCTGAAATCAAGATTTTGTTTTGAAAATTGCAGGGCCAGATTCACAAACGAACCCCTGTTTCGTGACGTATCGGGGAACAGGCCCAGCATCGACTGTAGAAGTGACTGGAACTGAGAATTATTTAAGAAATTTGTCTGATAAACTTGTGCTCTTTGTGGACTGGCATTCCTTCTCTCAGCTGTGGATGGCACCTTGGTCGTATACACCAAAAGTTAATGAATTTTACGAAGATCACGTGAGTATATCCCGCGTACTAATTATACCAAAATTATAAACTTCTAGATAACACTTATTGATTTATTCGTACTTTTGTAACGGCTTCGCCAAACTATTTCTGATTATACAAATATGGTAGTTTGATGATACACAAATGAACAGATATTTACTATGTCAAATGAGGCCGCTCACGACTGTTTTTTAGGGGGGTTCTGGCAAAATAATGAAACAAATGGGAAAAATTACTCAAAAAAGCAAAAAATTAAACACCTGTTGCAAAATATTTTGCAGTGTGTTTGTTTATTTCCTTCGTTGGAACAGCGACGAGTACCATATTTAATTACGTCGTGCGTTGTACTTTGACTTGCGAGAATGGCCAAACGTTGATGTTGTAATATTCAATACAACATCGATGAGGAATTAGAACTTCACCAAAAATGTAGTTTCCTTTTTTCTTTTGTAGATGAAATTCTTGGAGGCGGCTGTCACGAAACTGCAATCTGTTTACGGGACAAAGTATAGATATGGGCCGGTATACGAAATTATTTGTGAGTGAGAGTCTATTTTAAAGTAGAGGGGTTGCCACCTGCGCACGTTCGGGAAGCGACGACAAAGGTAGACGCTAGTTTGTAAACAGCGTCACACTATGACCGTCGGCCGCATGCGCAGATGACGACTCCCCCGCTGTAAGATATAGTTCATTTCATATACACTAAGCTGTGAGTTCAAATTATAGTTTTTCCAACAAATTGTCCTTTTTAGTGTTAATGCCTCACTGAGATCGACTGAACTGAATGCCATGATACTGCCAAAGGTTACAATTGTCACTATAGGTCCCACAGCGGCATATACAACGAATGTAAAATTATTGTTTTACACAAAATATTGAAGCGGGAGGGTCGTCACCTGCGCACGCGCGGGAATTGAGTCCCAATCGACGACAACAACACACGCTAAAAACGCAAATGTTCATGGGCAGACGCTTGTTTAGTAAACAATGACACGCTATGGCCATCTGACGCATGCGCAGGTGACGACTCCCCCGCTTTAACGTGCGCTGCCTTAACGTTTCTACTTGAATCAGTCACGATGACGTTGCGCCGCGTCAACCCATTCAACGTGTTTTTTCTCCTATACGTGTAGCATAAATTCCATTTGAATAAAGGACGATGCACTGTTGATTGTTGCGTGTCACCAGGGCAATAATGGCAATATCACGTCCGTATCGAATATAACGTTGTGGAGGGTTCATTACTGTTGTTATAAAAGACTATATGTTTTTCATGGTCGACGACATTATTACACATTATTCGTGCATTGACCGGTATTGTATGTTTACTGGATGGAACGTGTTACTGATCGACCAAGGCGAACGCTCAGTTTCAATAATCGGCATCGCAATGTATCATAATTCCACCTACATACATACATTGAATTATATACCTTAAAAATCAACGTAACACACATATAGTAGCATTCTTCTTTGATGAATACTGCATTTGCCCGTCCCTGTATTTTTATGGTCTATGATTAAATACAAGTTTATTATTCGCCACCTTATCTTTGTATATGTTATCAGATTCCGCTTCAGGTGCAAGTTTGGATTTTGTGTTTGGTGAACTTGGAGTTAAGCATTCTTACGCAGTAGAACTTCGAGACAAGGGATACTACGGTTTCTTGTTACCCAAAACGCAAATCATACCCACCTGCATCGAAGCATGGGAATCGGCTAAAGCCGGCGTGATGTACCTCTTAGAAGAAGAAGGAATCTAGTTCCGTTTAACTGCCAAGAAGTGACGCCATGATACATACACCCGCGTGAGTACCGCGGTGTTCCGGCAAGAGAAAACAGAATACGAACGTCATCTGTGTGTTGATTAAAGTGTGCCAGGTTATCTCGTTATTCAGGAATTTTTACAAACATTTTTTTTTTATAAAATGAATCTAATCATTGATATTTAGCAGTATTAATATTATTATATGAAGTCTTATAAAAAAAAAAACACGTCGATTTGGGGTCGATAAGTGAACAATGCCTGAAGTCAGCCCTTATTATTTTAAAACACCCTTTTTATATTACGAAAAAGTGGAATAACGACCGCGTGACCACCAGTGCTTTGATTGGACCTCGAGTACTGTTCACCATTTCATCGAATCGCTCATGTATGTACATCCAACGAACGACAGAGATGGCACGCAAGTAAAATCAGTCATACTAAAACAATATATAAGTTATAAGTTATTTTTTCAAACAATGTAATTGACGTCATACAGGATAGCTGAAAGAGTCCCATATGTGTGTTCAAAATAAAACATGCGCTTATGCAGTTTTCAGTGTCAACATGGTCGCATCTACATACACGTACCCGCATGATGAACATTGGACTCTTATTGTGTCACAGTTCCTCAACACTGTCGCTCCATGAATTGCCGTGAATTGCGACGTAGATT